AGGTTTGTACTTTCCTCTAAATTTGTAATTAAAAGTTTGTTTTTGAACAAATTTAGCTTTATTTCTTTTCACACAGTATTTAACTATTATAAATTCATTTCGTTTTTCATACTCTTCAAAAAAAGTCTCAACATCTGTCTAATACAGTATTTTTGGGTATATACTCTGATATTACTATAACTCCAATGTTTTCATTAACTGACATGTCTTTGTCACATTCTTCAGAATCAGCATTAAATCATTTAGCTAGTGTCTCATTTTTAATTTTTTCATTTCTATTAATATAATTCATAGGCAATACTTGAATAGAATATTCAATTATTATTAAAGATTATATATTTTTCTATTTCTGCCAATTCTTCTAAATTAAAGTTTGATTTCATGTTTATTAAATAAGTTAAAATGTAAAACAGATAAGTTGTAAAAGTGATAGGTTGCAAAAGTGATAAGTTAAAAAAATGATGTATTAAGAAAGTGAGGAGTTTGAATTGTGAAAGATATGGGTTGAAAGTGATGAATTGTAAAATGATAAGTTGTGAAAGATATAGGTTGAAAGTAATAAGTATAAAAGCGATAAGTTATAAAAATAATGAGTTGCAAAAATGGTGGGTTGTGAAAGCAATAAATTTTTGAAAGGTTTTGTTGTAAAAATGATAAAAAAGTTAAAATGCTTTGATTTGCCTTATATATGATCTGTAATTGTTTGGTATGTGATTAGAAATATGCATTGCATGATGATGCAAATTATCAATGATGATATCATTTTTATGTCGCATGATGATGCAAGTTATAACATTCTTAGTGGCTTTAATAAATTTATAAGTTTTAGTTTCGCAGTGCAGATTGAGATGATTTATTATAGTTGAAATTCAATTTAAGCAAGACATAAATTTGTAGCACATATATATTTAAAGTTGGGGTTATATATATTAGTAGATCTCATGTTGATATATAATATTACAAAGGGTGATAATTAGTAACTTCATGGGATGCAATGCATATGGGGCCGTTGCAGTAGAAAAGGCTGATACTGTCCAAAATGTGAAAATTGAGTTTTTGACATATTTGAATAAATTTTGACATGTGCTACATTTTTCAATTATAGATGGAAATTGATTTGCATAATAAAAAATCAAGATATTTTAAAAAATTTCTTTAGGAGATTCGTACATCACGAGATTACCTGATATAACTAGCCAATCAAATCACGAAAAGTTTGATTAACCCAGATCAGTCCGAACAAAACAAACTCGATTATTTCAAAATTGTATATATTCCAATATCGGCCCTTTCTACTGCAAAGGCCCCATATATTTATTTTTTATAAAATTACTATATTTTTTCACTCTTGTATTATAAACAAATTTGTTTTTTTTTAATTTTTTAAAAAAAAAAACTTTAAGCAAGACTATCTCAGTAAGCATCTGATTCAATTCAATAAAAATTTTTTTATTTAAATTCTATGGATTTATAAAATTAAAAATAAAAATTTTTTAATAAATTTGATCAAGTGATTACTGCAATTTCTTTGCTCAAAGTTTTAGAAAAATTTTAGCATTTTTGATAAACTTTGTTATTAAAAAAAACTTTGAGCAATGAAATTTCAGCAACCATCTTATCAAATTTGATAAATTTTTTATTTGAATTCAGCAGATTCATAGAATTTAAATAAAAAAGAATTCATTGAATTTTATATCATTATGTATAATCAATTGTAATTAGAAAATCAAAGTATATGATTCTTATAATTTTTGAAACTTTTTTGGATGGTTGGCAAATTTTCTAGACTTTATAATTTTTACTTTGCAATTCCATCTAGCATTATTGGGGTTGGATCAGTCCAAAAAAAGACCAGTTTAAACCTGTCTTTAGACTGGAACTAGAGTTTTTCAGTTCCTGATCTTAGACCAGTTCAGCCTGATCCAGACTGATTAATTAATAGTGAAACTGAAAAATACAAAAATGATTTAATAATTAACAAATAACCAATAAAAACATGATAGACTAATTAGTGAAGATAATCTATTAAATATATAGATTAATTTATTCAATAATAAGTGAATGTATTAATTTATCTAATATTAAGCAAATATATTAATTTATTCAATAATGAATGAATATATTAATTTATTTAATAATGAGTGAATGTATTAATTTATTCAGTAATAAGCAAATGTGTTAATTTATTCAATAATGAGTGAATATATTAATTTATTCAATAATAGGTGAATGTACTAATTTATTAATAACTAGTGAAAATATATTTATTTATATAATAATTAGCAAAGATATTATTAATTTATATAATAATGCTAAGATATTAATTTATTTACAGTAATAATTAGTGAAGATATGTGATATTAATTTATGTAATAATTAATTTTAAATGAGAGTTAAGATTATACATATAAAATTGCCTCCTCAGCACTTTTTACCAATGTCTTTCGACTGCTGTAGCTTGTATTTGATAGGTCAATTATAATATAAGGGGTTACTTTCACGTGAAGTTACACACATGCAAAGTGATTGGTCGTCAAAATAACTAACCAATTGAATTTGTGTATTTTTGCTGTGTAACTTCACATGAATAAAAAAGGCAAGTTGTTTTTCAGCTATAATGCGATATCCAATAAAAATTGCGATTTATTTTTTCCAATCTTTACATAATTTTTAGGGTCCTTGAACTCGCACTGTTCAAATCGTCATAGTTGATCTATGATCGAGCCATCAAACTATATCGTACAGCTGGTCTAAACCACTAGTTCGTATATAGATTATAATAATAATTGCATAATATTACTAATAACATTTGAACTACAATTTTCAAATATGGACCTACTAAACTAGCTAATGGTTTGAACTTGAACCTATCATCTTTAAACAAAGACCAGAATAGACAAACTACTTCAAGTTGTAACACCGATCAACATTTTAGATTGGCGAGAATAATTGAGATTTACACATAATTTTTCAATAAGTTAGCTGTATGACATTGTCGTGCTAAAACCAGGAACATAAACAATGATTTATAATTTCATGTTAGTTCTTTTAGAATATAATAAAGTGACATTTTATAAAAAAAAAACATCAAAGAGTCAATGACGGCATAAATTAGTCGTAGCTAGCAAAAAATATGAACGAAACATCACAAGAATGTAGATCACTGTGTCATGAACATCAAACTCAAATTCTCCGTTGCTGGTAAATTTATATATTTGATTTATTTTTGTGTTAATAATTTAGAATGAAACTGGAATTAGTTAATGTTCGACCTTAATAAGGACTTCAGAATTTGATTCATTTATTAGATCAAGAACTGATTTCTCGCCTGAATAATTTTTTTATTTTTCATTATTACATCATTATTGAATTACCTATTTTCAAAACTTCTTATTGTAATAATCACAGATACATATAATATCGTTTCTCTCTTACTTTTATTACTTACACTTATGTATTTATTGCCGTATCACTAACTTTCATTATACCACTATCAAAGTTAAACCTGCATCAATATAACCTGCTCCCCAACTTTGATAGTAGCATGCATTATATTTATTGAATTATTTAACCTCGGTTTATCGAACCTTGTTATTTTGAATGATATGGGCAATCGTAATAAAATTTTAATTTGGAATCTTGTGGTGATTATCCTTGTTATTTTGATAATAAAGCATAGTGAAGAAAGTAAAATAATTGAGCACGATTTAACTAGTTATGGAGGAATACTCATTGCTCAGCAATTTGAAGATGAGAAAATTTTAATAGCTGCCTTGAATGAACATTCATACTTGTTATATTTCATTTATCAAAATGGAAGTATAATCTCTGTAAATTATGAACATTCTATTAATCTTAGCAATTCAAATAGATGGATACTTCATGATCTTAAACCTTTAGCAACAGATCATGTAATTATGATATATTACGATATTCGTCATCTAAATGCTACTATATTTGGAATTATTATAAATATAAATTCGCAAGGCAAAATAACAGAGTAGGTTTTTATGTTTCTATGTTCAAAGAGGTTATATAGTCTATAATATTCTAATTTTTATTTTGTAGTAATATTACTTTATTACATAATTACGATTTAACATCAGATAATTATGATATTACGGAATATAACAGCATTTCCCGAAGTTTTGTATTCACACATAAAAAACGCGATTATTTAAATTGGACCAAATACAGATTCTCGTAAGTTTAAAAACATGAAATACACACAATTTATCAAACCACAATGCTAGAAAGATTCTATATTGTTGCTATGCTAGAGAGAGCACTATTGCTAATACATGTAGCTAACAAAAAAAAAGGAAAGGGAAAAAAACAGATACATAATGTTGAATAGGATATTGTATTGAAGATATTGGATTATCTAATTTTAATTAAATTATTCAGCAACAAGAATAGAAAATGAAATTTTATGCTTAAGAGGATATTTTGTTCCTTAAAATATGGCATATTTTAATTGCTTTAAAAGCTAATAATTCTTGTATTACAGGCAAAATGATGGCACTGCTACACCAATATTAAATGGGTCTATCAACCCGAGAACCGGATTCCGGATAGAAAATCATAACACATTTACTACCACCGATGGTCAACATGTAATTGTTTATCAAATCATCAACAACAATCCGTCAAATTATACAAATCCACTAGATATCTCCTTCTTTTATCGTTATGACACACCCAACTATTTAATATATGCTCAATTTATAAAAAATGACGAAGATCAACAACCTGATCAATTTTTATTATATACAAGTTACGATATTACGATAAATATTTTTTCGTCAATCAACTGTCAATCTAGGTTTCATTCGGTGAATTTTCAAAGCAATATTTGCATCTACCTTGAAGGCGCTGAATATAATTCACAATACACTCGTTTCATGAAATTCATAAAGTTTACATCTGCTGGATCAGTTATCGATGTGGGCACTCTTAATATAATTTACAGTCCTCAAACAACTAAAGCACAATTAATCATGCCGTTACCATATGGTGGTGCAATTTCATTTATATATACAACTAATCTTTCTAATAACTCCGATAATCTCCAAGTGCAAACTTTTTATTTAGATACTATGGTCAATGGTGATGTATTGTATACTGCCTCGAATAGACAGGGTTACTGTGGTGTTTTTAGCAATAATACTGTATGGTTTATGCAAGATGATCATTATGGATTCGGTATTACAAAGTTAACTACAATCGATGTTAATAAGGTTTATAAAGACTGTAAATATTTTAATTTTCTAGCTTTTATTATTTTTAATGTAATCATTTATTGTCACTGCTAACGAACAGGAGGAACCGTTGATACGTCACAAAATCGTTACACAATTG